TCAGAATAATGTTAAACTTTAGCTTTAATTACTTATTGAATATATATATATATATATATATATATACATACTTCCATATGCAAGTATTATGCATATAAATAGACGAGATAAAATTTTCTTTGCTATAATATATTATATTCTTTGCGCGATCGAAAAACTTTACTCTCACAGACAAAAGTGTGACAAAGAGTGCAACTATTTTTGATAAAAAAAAAAATAAATGCAACAAAATATTTGTATTTCGAATGCAAACAGAAAAATGTAAATCAGCAAACTACTGCTACTGCCCATAGCTTTGCATTTTGATTATCCTTTTGCTCAAATGTCATAATTTTTGATTATTTTTTCTGACTCAAAACTAATTTTATTGGGTTACAAAATTAAAATTTACGCGCGGTTGAGTGGGTAGAGATGCGCATTGCCACTCGGTACGTCTAGGGTTCGATCCCTGGGTCGAGGAACATTCAAAAACAAGTTATTTTTTCTAATAGCGGTTGCTCCTCGGCAGACATTTGCAAACCTCCGAACGTACATATTTTCGCCCTGAAAAACTTCTCGCCGTTCGAAGACGGCCGCCCTTTGTGTCACAACATCAATGCGCACACCACAAATCGGAGCAGAAGCTCGGCCTAGCACTAGCAAGCGTGTCATCGCCTATTATCTATGTAATTTTGTTAAACACTTTTTAACTCAAATCAGTAAAGGAAATAGAAAAAGTCTGCTTTTATTTCACTGTTAGATCAAACCAAACAACACATTGAAGATCTAGAGCCCTTTACAGCTCAATCTACAATCATACAAAAGTTCTTAGGCTTACTCAACTTTCTGCCCGAGCACTTTTTTGCACAATTTCAGGCACGCTGCAATACCATAAGACTAACTGCATTACAAAAATGGGGAGACCCGCACCTATAAGGTCCCTAGACAACATTACACCTCCTCTCAATCTTGAGAACCAACTCTTCACGCGTATTCCTTTCAGGAACGATTGAGAAGATGAGTCGGTCTTGGGCCCAAAAGATGACTCCACAGCCTTATACACAGATGGCTATAAACTAAATCTAAGAGTAGGAAGCGGGATACACTCTCCAAAGACCTCTCATTGAACATCTGTTATAGGCTGTCAGACCCTTGGACTGGTCCGACTCCTTTTTCAAACTGCCTTCAGTAATTACCTTTGCTGATAGCCAAGGAACTGTCAATGCATAAGTCAATAAAAAGTTGGCTACTGAATTCACTATCCACTCGCAAGATGTGGGTAAGGTCATAAGAGACATACATAAATAGAAAGTAATTTGCATGGCAGATGAACTTGCCAGGAAGGATGCGTTCAGAAATGCATCAGGCCAAAGCAACAGTCTCTTTTATTTCTAAACTATAATTGATGGAAATGTCAAATATGTGCAAACACCGTTAAAAGCCGAATTGGAACTGAGTTGCGTAAATAAGACATTTCCATCAATTATAGTTTACAAATAAAAAAGGCTGATGCTTTGGCTTGATGCATTTCTGCTATTCCCATTGAAGAAAATTTAATAAAAGCTAAAAAATTAAATATAAAACTCCCGAGGACAAAGTAAGTATTTTGTTTTTACTTTCGTTCCGCAAATGCCAAATTTCAGCCATTCTTCGCTCAAGGAAGAAGACGGGGGAAAAAGATTCCCAAACTCTCACTTTCTCACTCACTCATAACAAGTTTCGACCTACAGAGGCGAATAAAATATTGGCTCGAATCGCGGCGTTGGATAGCGAGTGTACATCGCGCATTCAAATTGTATTGTGGAGAAAGCAGCTGCCATTTTATTTGATTCGATTCGAAACGAATAATCACTCGATCACCAATGCCGCGATTCGGGCGCAGCTGCGCTAGCCACACCACCTTAGATTAATTCCGTTGACTATTAGCAACAGAGTATCAAGAAAGCTACAATGTTGCAATATTGCGGTAATTATTAATTAACTCGCACACTGTTTTCGATCTATTTTTTTATGTAAAAAGAGTAAAATTAAAATATGTATTTGTAGTTGCATTGCCTTCGAAATGAGACACAGTTGAAAGATATCGTAAAAAATTTTTAATGGTCATTCCTGCATACTTAACTCAAACATTTTTTTTATGGATTACGACGTTCTTACAGCAAGCGAGCATTATGTTGACTAACCGCATATTTGTCTCAATTGCTATGACCGGTTAGAGTTCTGGCTGCTTTTCCATATACATTAATTTATTACTCACCAACTACCCTAATAAATTGAAAGAAATTTAAATTATAAACATAGCTCAATAAACAAAAAAAGTGCTAAAAATTAAAAAGGTTAAAAACTTAAATAAAAGACGTTTTTAATAGCTTTATCCCTTACTTCAAACACTTACCTATACTTAGACATTTGATGTTTAACCTTTGTTTTTTCTAATACTTAAATGTTTAACTGTACATTGTGCCCTTAGCGTTATTAACTTTAATGTTCCCGTACTCGAATCACACTTACGATATTTAGATAGATGCTCAACTTAAATAGTACACACTTCACTTACATACATACCCATGTGCCATTTTGCATATGCATACATAATTTGATTTGCCATTTCTTTTTTTATAGTCCAACAATGACGTAGTTTCTGATCATGTTCATACTTAATTATGTTAAATTTATAAATTCAAATTTAGTTTTTATGCCCTAGCACTTTGATACGTTTCGCATTTATTTCTGTTTCAAATCAAGCGCATGTTTCATTGCATTCGTTTGTGTGCCAAAACAAAAAAAAAAAAAAATTAAACTGCTTGCATTTGCAAAACTTAACAATTTCCTATTAAATTTAAACTAAATTTGTTATCATCCATCGTTATGCCAATTTCTAATTGTTGACTCAACAAACGATTTCATAACAAATGGCCAACACACTTTTTTGCAAAAAGAAAAAGAAAAAATAAATAAAAAATCATTGAAATGAAACATTTAATTTTCTATTTTAATTTTCTGTATTTTTACTTAGTAAAGGTATACGTAAGTTTATAAAAGAAATGAGTTAAATTAAATTACATAGTACATATTTTTAATTTCTTAGCAGCATAAATCACTCGTTAGGATCACTTAATTTATATTTTTTTTAGCTTAGTATTCCAACTTTATCAACTTTCCATTTAATTCATATTACAATTATAACTTGTCAGCTTTATTAATATTTAGACATAGATTTTTTCGCTATTAGAAAAAATTAAAATAATTAAATTAAATTACATATAATATCGAACGCATGCGTTTTTGTATTTTTTTTTTTGGGGGGAAATCTATACTAGAATTAATTCTTTTGTTTTTTGTTTTAAATAGCTTATTCTGTTGACAGCAGATGCGCATTAATAATGCATAAATACATACATACATAAACATATATGTATGTATATTTTGTTCATCGATAAAACTAGGCTTGCACATATCGTAAGCATTCGGCTGTCGTTGGCCAAACTCAAATACTACAGCCAGACTATGGGCTAATACTTATTGCAAATAATAAATATGTATAGATATACATATTTATATACATAAATCAAATGCACCTGTAGTACTAAAAAAGAATTGAATAGTTTTAGATAAATATATAGGTTGAAATTGGCGAGAGTTTTATATGTAGTCTTTTTCTCAACTAATACAAAGGGTATCTATCAACAGAACAGTAGAACATTTCAAATATTTGTTAGAATTTATATGTATGTATATAAAAGCGTGTCTTAGTAAATCAGCGTGGCGTGGCGCCTTCCTTGTTTTTTTTACATCTTTGCTTTGCATTTCCATTACAAATTTCTTTTGCTACACACATACCCATACATCCTTCATCGTTTGAAAATGTTTTCCTTTTGCCTTGATTACAATGCATGTAGATTTCAAATATCAAGTATTGTATTAATACATAGTTTCTTTTTTTTATAAATTTCCACGAAATGCTTTGTTGCAAATAATTGTACATGATTGCTGTTTTGTTTATGTTTTTGTTCTTTTTGTTTGCTTGTCGAATTTTAATTCTGTTGCTGTTGCTGCTGTTGATATTCGATAGGACTGGTGATTGCCCTAAGGAAATCGTGTTGTGACTGCAGTATATTGCGTATGATGCGCAACCATTCATTGGTTAAATCCACTGTAGCTGCATAGCAAACTATATTCAAACCGGGTTTATTTGGATCGGTTGATTTGAGCAGAAAACGATTATTTGGTAATTCTTCTAACTGCATTTTGTTGACCTATTGAAAATGAGATAAAAATTAAAAAAAAAAATATAGCGTATTAATTTTTAAATAGGATTGCTCTTAATTGGGATAATGTTCCTCTTCTAAAGCTTGAAAGCACTAGAAGTTCTCTACAAAAAATAAAGTAACTAAAATATCGCAATAAAAGAGCTAAATTCTGATTTTTATGTTAAAAAAATACCACAGATACATGTCAAAGACGAGAAAAAATATGCTAATTTCTGCCTTAACTATGCACAATATTCCAAAAATTATATCTGATTAAAAAAGGCGTGAATCCAACACCGACTACACTTACAACAGTGTTTTAGCGCAGAACACCGCTCCGCGTAGGCGGTCTTCGGGGGCGCTTACAAAAAAGTCCCCATCAGTCTAACTCCGGCTACGCCGTCCACAGTATTTTTGCACAGGCATAATTCATTTTGACAAGTGCAATTAGGCCGCGATTAAAAAATGATACTACGCCCCCGAATAAATAAGCGCTCTTAATTCCATCTATACTTCGCATACACTACAATCGCTTCCAACAGCGGTAAATACAGGCTGTTTCTCAAGAAAAGTTACAGATTTTCTGCTGGATTACACAAAAAACAGTTACGCATTTTCTGCTGGGTTAACACAAATTTTACCCATACCGAAACAAAGATGTTTAAACAGAAAAAACATTTTGCCCTTCACACAAGTCAGTAATATAATGTCCATTTAGAGGCATATAAACGTTGGGTTTTTTAAATGCGATTTCATAGCCCTGCCCGCCTGTGTATTTCAAGAAAATATCTAGCCTCCACCACACCTCCGAACCATTCTGCAAACTCGTATTTCTTATCATACAATGGAGCCAAATTTGAACCAAACATTACCACAAATAAATTTTAATTCCCCAGTTCTATAGGATACATACATACATATGTACTACAGATTAAGTAGCCCCTGGTTATTTTACAATACGTCCAGCGGCTAGTTTAAACTACTCATAGAAAGTCTAGTGAACTTTTGCAAATTTTAATTTTCTAACTGCAGCGCTTCACCTACCTGTATATGCGACCGATAGGTATATGTTGGACTACTATACTGCAGCTTCTTGCCATCAATATCCGCAAAAATTATACTTTGCTCGAATAGAAAAACATACAATTCACGCGGTTTCTGCATCATATAGGCATTACGTTCAGCATTCTTCTCATCTTCAACGCAGGTCAATTTGTCATGTAGCAGCAGTTTGCCTTGCGCAGTTATTTTACCCTCAAATTTTTGCAAGCGACGTAATTCCATCGCTTCGTTAGCAGCCTTGCAAATCATCTAAAAATGGTACAGATTGTGGATAAAAATTAAATTAATATTACAAAGGACTGCGACTCGGAATCAATTTGTTGAAATAAGCTTCCTTACCCCCATAACGCGCATAGCTTCCTCGATGCCGACAACTTCAGCATCACGTCCAGCTGCACGAGCATGTTTGGCTATTTCTCTGAATAACAATTCATATTTTGGCAATCTTTGCACCGGTTTTATGAGCAAATCGTTGAGCTATAAATATTTAGTAGCGAAAAAGATATTTGAAACGAGAAAATTTAGTGACGAAAGATTCATTTGGTGTTCACTTGGAAAACTTACATCCAAACGACTACCGAGTTTTTGTCGTATTTGATCAAAATATGCAAGATGAGTGGTCACTATGTGATCCGACACTGGTTTGTTTTGGTAATATTTATTATACATATCAAATTTGGGTAAATAACGTTTGATAATAGGGCCCAGATCGGCGGGCGAGTTACGACAGCGAACTATTGCCTCCAAAAAGAATCTATCAGAAAAAAAAAAATGTAAGAGAATGCAATTTAGAGTGGCCTTTGGCATTTTCGCACTATATTTACTTCTTATGCCACTCATAGATGGCCTCAATGTTGCCGAAAACCATGCGCTCTTTACCGCCTTTTAGATCATCGGGTATGGGTATATCACTTTTGGGATCGAGCACCTCAGCTAAGTAACTGTAAATGTAAAGAAAATGTTTATACTTCAATTAGTTACATATAAAATTAAACAATTTACATACCCATTTACAACACTTTTTAAGTCTTCAATATATGACTTTTCGGTGGTTATTAATTCATCGATTGCGTATTGACGCTTTCTAAGCGCGCTTTCAATATCACTGTTTTCTGTATTACGCTAGCAATAGAAAGTTACGAGATATACAAAAAGTTAAAAAATTTGTATTGTGTTTTATGTTTATAAACAAGTTAATTGTAGATGCATACCTCCTCATGATTATATAAGTTGCTGTTGTCGTAATTATCTGTGGCATCTGTCTTCTCACCAACTGTGTTGCAACCGTTGCTGGCACAAACATCAGCATTGCTATTACTGCAATTGTTTGCGTTTGGTTTTAAAATTTTTGATTTCTCCTCGTGTTGTTCCTGTGGCAAAGGAAAATGTAATAGGAATAGGACATGATCTACTTGTATAAAAAATGTAGAAAAATAGGTATTGTATACGAACCGTTTTCTCTTTGACAATTTGCTCAATTTCCGATAAATCTACGGCGGGATTTCCATCCATTTTGCCAGCGCTTGCCTGTAATAAATATAAAATGAAGAGTATTTATTTATAGATAGTGTTTTTATAAATTAAAATGTGACATAAATATAAATATTAGCAAATGAGTATCTTTGGACAGGGAAGGGATCGGTTTGAAAACGCCTTATCTCAGAAAACTTTTCAAAAACGATCCAGATGAAGACAAAATTAAATTTTTTTATTATATATATATATATAACAAGTGATTACAGTGCCGAACAGAAGTATTGGCACAGTTAATTTTTCGCAATTTTTCGACGCCATATTCATAAGTTTCGGAATTTTTGAGAACTTTTTTATTCAAAATTGACATGAATGAAGTGATGTTGCCGATTTGTCATCACAGCAATAAATCGGTGAGTCGCCAATTTGTTGCCATTGACGATTGTTGCCTATTTCTCATGTTTTGCATGGTGGGTAATCAAAGAAAACGACCGATATTCTTTAATAAATTTCATTTAATGGATTCGCATGATCATCTGTATTTTCTTGCTTTGAATTTACACACATATTTCGTTCGATGGCAATAAATTACACACAATAAGTGGAGAAAATTTTGTCCTCCTGCCTTAGATTATTTAAAAACATATACTAAAAGATATGTATATGAATTGGTTAAAAGAAGAAAGATGAAAAGCATTTCAACGCCTTCATTTCCTGTTTTTCTCATTCTTTTACAAAATTTATGTACATACGTATGCTTTAATATATTTTTATTTTATTTTCATTTTCAATGCGCCACTAAAAATATATGCGCGCGTATTATACTGATTGTTAGCGCCGAGTTCGTAGCGTATATGGCAAGTGTTGATGTGATTTGTCGGTTCTTAATTGAGTGCGTTTCAGATGCACTTATCTACCTACAAATGTACATACATATGTATGAGTACCAAGCTTTGCAAATACTTATACATAGTTGTCTGAACACACTATTGTATAAATTGTATTTTGTGAATGACAAACACTGCATCGCTGAGCACGACAAGCAGAAGAAGCACAGAGTGAGTGCAGCTCACTAATTCGCCTAAGGCTCTTCTCTTCATAACTCAGAATAAGAAATTGTTTGTTGAAAATACAAAAAATGTACATACATACATGCATATGTGAAGGAACTAGTACGAAATGTGTGCATAAATACGTATAGCATTTTTTTGTTTAAGAAATGTTGGCGCAAGCTGAAAGAACCCCAAAAATATTGAGCAATATTAATATAAGATAAGGATCTTTATGATAGAAAAATTTATGACTGCTATTGGACATACAATTTAGAAATGAGTGTGTATTGATACTAGAGCTTTAACTGCTTGAAAAAAAAGTTTTGTTCCTTATTTTTTTTTCAAGCAGATAAAGCTCTAGTATCATTAAACACTTATTTCTAAATTGTATGTCCAATACAAGTCATTAATGTTTTCTGTCATAAAGATCCTTATCTTATATTAATCGCCAGTTTAATGCTGAATTTGCACTAGGCATTAATCACTATTTTGTTTCAAATGCAATGACACGAATAATTTTTAATGCCCAATTTGGCAGTACAATTTCTGTCATTTAATGACCAGTGGAAATTCAGCATAATGTATTTTGAAAATGGCCGTGGCATCGCCCATCAATTCCCACCAAACTCGGAACGCCCATTGCTTAGAATCACACTAAGAAACCTGTTGAAAATTTTTGAAATCGAACAATAACCGCGCCCACTTCCCATACAAGGGTAATTTACAGAAATACGAAAATTGCGATAAATCAGTATATTAATTCCGAACCTACTTTACTCAAAACCGATGTTTACATCTCTTAGAAATATAGAAAAATAAATGAGATTATCAAACATTTTTCGTAAATGACTACATAAATTCAATTTCTACCAAACTCGGTACAATTACTGCACTTGGAACAAAAACGAAATATGTTCAAAATTTTTGAAATCGGATTAAAGTTACGCCTTCTTCCCATATAACAGTAAATCTCGGACATACGAAAACTCTGATATTTCAATTACTAAGGACACTAATTTAATCAAACTTAAAACTTACAACAATCTCTGAATAAGAAATGAGATAATCATAATTTATTTTTAAATGGGCCTGGCACCGGTCAATTATGACTACATTAGTGTATATGTATCGGTAAGCGCCAGGGTTATAACTACTGCATGTCTAAATAAGAGTAAATGACATGAAAAATCGTAGCAAAATATAAAATTCCGTAGTAGAATTTGTATTATCCTCCCTTTGCTGAAAGGAAAACATAATCCAGAATTTTTTTAAAAATTAAGTATGCGAAAAATGTTGTACGAAAAATAACTATATTGCGTACTTGCAATTTTTCTCATTTCTAGGACCTTCAGCAATCTTACGTTTCCACCATAAATATTGGGGGGAAATTATGAATTTTATGTAGGTGATCAAAAAATTTACACAGTTCATTTTGATATAGGTAACTTATTTACATATGTCATACAAGACAAGACAATTCAACTTCTTTATTTTTTGTGGATTAATATGTTTGTTTTGCGGCAATGTAGTGCGCACATTATTATTTCCGAAAGAAAATTGAAGTAGATCGTAGGTAAAGCATAGTAGCGTAGAAAATTTTTCGAAAATCGGAGTAAATCTACTACGGTCGTAGTAAGGATCCAACCATGGTAAGCACTAGGAATGTTAATCCCGGGATGCCGGCCTTTTTTAGGTCTCGAAAATCCCGGGATTCTTGGCAAATAATCCCGGCATTTTCGAGATTTGTAATTTGCAGGGATGACAATAATAAAAACTCCTTTTCTTGACCAGTATTGGCTATATTTCTTTTTTTAATTCATAATTAATATTTTTTTATAAATGTCTAGCTCATTATACATATATGCGATAGTAAATTTTACACACAAAAATCAATATATTCGCGAAACCATGGGCCAAATATAGTAAAAATGCATTTTTAGTTTTTCACTCTGACGTCAGCAATTAAAAAATGATTTAACAAATTCAGTGAAATGTGCTTAGAGAAGAAGTATGGGTATCAAATTAAAAAGAAAATTCTGTAGAATTTAAGCAGATTCAATGTTTTGCTGTGTAAGGACTGGCAAGTATTGAAAATGTCCGTTTAAATTTTTATCCTTGAAATTTCGCAATATTTGTTTTTGATAAAATTATATATTAAGGACGTATATAAACTCGATAACATCCACGAATTCCGTCCTTCCAACTTTATCAGCTTAAAAAATTACCTATTCGTCCTTGTGAATCTAAAAATTTTAAGAAAATTTTTCTTGCATTTGGCACCCATAATTTTATTCTAAATACATTGCATTGAATTTTTCAAATCATTTTTGGCATTAATCATATCTTTGAAATTTCAAAGTCCTTTAAAATAAATCCTGACGTCAGAGAGAAAAAATAAAAACGTCACTTTAAATTAAAAAGCAGGTTTCAAACCCATTTTTTTATTATTTATTTTATGGTAGAAAAGCAATTATGCAAATTGTGGTAGAAGCAGTTTTTTCGATTTAAGTTGTTGAAAAGTAATGAATATCTAAATCCCAGGACTAATCCCGGGATCCCGGAATTGTGATAACGACATCCCGAATATCCCGGGATCGTAAAAAGCGTAAAAATTAACATCCCTAGTAAGCACTTTATCGATTCCTGCAAAACCTGGTACAATTTTTTCTTTAATTCTAATTTAGCACAGTTTCAATAATACTATTCAACAATTTTTATTGAGCTTGAGGCCGCTTTTAATGAAAAACTATTGTGGAAGAGCAACAACAATTTTGAAAAAATGGTAGAAGTGATCGCTATTTCGGAAATCACCACATTTCCTCATCAGACTTCTTCAATAAATACTGTTTGAAATCTGGAAGAAGACCCTAGGTTATAATGTAGTTTACAGTAAGGGTATATAAAGTTCGATTTCGGCCGAACTTATACTTTTTTAAAATTCTCTTTTTCTCATTGCCACTTTTCAGGATAAATACTGATCTTAACGAGGCACGACGACTTTCACTTAATCTTTCAGGAAGTGTGCTTAAGTCGATTTTACATACGCGATCCGACACTGGAACATATTCACTGTGAAAAATTTGCTCGCTCTATGTGGTTGGTTGAAGAGCCATTAATAATAGTTAGTCACTTTACTGCATTGATTATCTGACAATATGGATTATAGACTTACTAAAACCGTAAATACACTGTGCACTTTGCGGCGAAATGTACGCCGCCAGCAACTTTTATTTTCCACTGTCAGTTTCTTTTGCTTTGAGTTGGCAAAAATGAGCAATATAAATTCACTTTGCTATAATTACTTCACTTTATCGGGAATATGGTTTCACTGTTACATATGTATATATTTTTTTTTATTATGCACATACTTATATGTATGTGATTAGTTAAGACTGTGTGCGAGTATGACTAAATAAGGTTACAATTTATTTTATTTTTTTTTTTTAATTTTGAAAAAGAAATTCATAAAAACGGTTATAATTTCGGCAGATTTCTTTACCTTGGCTTTTATCGAGAGTACGAAAATTGCGGATCGGTGCATTCTGAAAAGTTCGCATGCCATTTTCATATTTTTGAGTGATAAAGATTTGATGATATACATGTTTCATAGAGTTGTATGTATAAATAGTATACATATGTATATTTACTGCAATAAAGTTTACAATTCTTTCAAATTATTAATCACTTGAACGAATCCCTTTATACAAATTTCTAAGGCATTGGTCGAACTATTTTAAGATGCCAATTCATTTGAGCACTTTTAACATTTATTCCGTTTTACGAATTTTACGTTTGCATGGGCACTGCTTGAGCCAAGAACTGAAACTAAATGATTACCGTTTGACTTGAGAGCTTATGGATTTGGTGCCCGTAAAACTGGCAAATGACCCCAATTCTCTTCTTTTATCAAAATTTGTGCTTTCTTAGAAGCTCATTATCGCGCTTGGAGTTAAAGTAACCCGTACGAAGAAGAGTGAGTGATGCTTTATGCTCATATAACAA